GGGCGCGGTAATATCTTGTCGAGACGTATCCGGTCATCTGGGGATCCTGGACTCGAGCAAGGCCAAAATCGCAAATCTTCAGATCGCAGTTCTCGTTGACCAAGATATTGCTAGGTTTCAGATCGCGATGGACGACGCCAGCGGAATGGACATACTTCAGACCTCGCTATATTTTTTACCCGTTAGCTTTTTACCCTCCATCACCCGCCAAACGCGAAAAGGGTACACGCACCATGATTTGGTAGAGGAAATATTGGATGAACTGCTTTTCTAGAGGTCTCGACGTGAGGAGTCGGTGCAGGTCTGTCCCAAGCAGTTCTGTGACGAAGTAGCTGGTAGGCGTGTTAGCGCATTATGGTAGGTTTTAGGCTCTGTTCTAGGCGTGCATACATGTCTTCAAGGGGTGAGATAAAGATGTCGTTGAGGGAGATGACCTGGAGACTGGCGTGAGTAATGATCTAAATATCCTCTAGGGAGACAATTTGAACTAACATTTTCATGCCTGAGGTGTTTCAGTAGCTTTAACTCTCGATATGTCCTCTTAGCTAAGACGGGAGTGCTAAAGGGCTTCATAATCTTCTTGACAGCGACATTTTGGTTTGTGAGCTGATCTTTCGCGGAGCTGCACGAGGGCAATTTCAAATTTGGTTAGTTGTTAAGGTTCTAGGATCGAAATTGTTCGGCGCAAGTGGTAGCAGTTGGGCAACGACATGACGTACCAGACCAGACCAAAAGCACCCATGCCCACAGGCTGCAGATCCGAGTATCTGTTGTAGAGTATTATGTCAATTCGGAGTCGGTTGGTAGACGGTGCTGCGAAAAGCCGGCATACCTAGAAGTGATCTCGAACGTCGTCCCGAAGATCTGAGCTCGTACGAATTCGGCCATGGCGAATAACGAGCTATAGTTTATTATAGGAGGCGGGGTGGTGAGAAAGTTTAGACGGCGATCAAAAAAATTAAGGGTGAGACGACGGAGCGATGTCAGCTATCGAAACGAGGGGGGGGGAAACGAGGGGCAGAAATCCAGAGATAGCCGTGTACAGTTAGGTTAAGTTTACTGTACAAGTCGGTTAGGTAGGGGGTAAGCGTGGCGTAGACAAGTATAGAGCTTAACGACCTTTCCTTTCTGTTAATTCTTTTCTCCTATTCTTTTCTTCTTTTTCTTCTTCTTCTTGTTCTAATTTTTGAAGGGTGGGGATAGAAAAGGTATAGAAAGGCCAAGTCGAAATGAATGGCAATCTTGGAAATGCCGTTGAGAGATGGGAAAAGTGGGATGAAAGAACAGGATTTTCCGGTTGAGAGAGTTGGGCTGTGCTGTGGATAAGGTTTTTGGAACACGCTGGTACGGCGATTCCAAGACACTTTTCCAGTGGCGATCGCGATCGAGGATTTCTATGTAAAAATAAGAAACAAAAATGCTAGACCTTTTACCTCTTAGCAAGTAACGCTACCTATGTAGGTAGTATGTTAGGTACGCTATCCACCTATTAAGGGCTACCCCTGGCCATTCGCGGCGTGGGCGTTGCGGGCAAGTCGTGACAAGTGGCTGATGCTATGCGAAAGCACCTATAGTAATGCAAAGTACTGTACATATAAACCCTCTATGGGAGACTACTAATAAGTATGGGCTTAGTCTATCGAAGAAGTACTTGTACTAAACAGATGCAGGTAGAAGAGGTATTGGAGGTTAGGAAGTCAGGGTAAGTGAGCTATCGCTCTACCCTTATGTGCTTGAATCACTAGTAGGAGAAAGTAGGCCCACTTATAGAAGAAACTACATAGTACATGTACCTATGTTAGTAAGGTATGGTAAGGTACATTCATACATAATCTCAAGTCTAACTAGTAATAAACAGGTGTTGTTTTCAAGACCGAGAGCCTCCAATAGCGAATGCGTTATTAATTTCGTGCTGTTGCCGTTGTTGTTGTGTTGCAACGTCCGTGGAAGAATATCAATCAACTAGGCTCAGTTTAGCGATAGTACAATAATATCAGATATAGGATATAATCAGTCAATCATGCGAAGAGACAATGCCATGCCATGCCGGTTAGCATGATGCACGACTACTTATCTGATGTTTCCCATCTCTGATACCTTATATACCTAGCTTGCAGCCGGTGCCCCAACATGGCAGTTGGCATGTTGTATCCCTATGTAATAATAGCGACCAAAAGATACCAGTGCATATATGTATAACTAGTTCTAGGTTATATGTAACTAGGTAACTATATTATCTATGAATAGTGACAGAAACAACAGAGTAACAGGATCAACCGCGCTTAACCCTCTAAAACTTGGATGGATCGTACAAAGAAAAAAAGGACAAAAGAAAAAAAAACTTTTTAAGGATGGGATTTAACAGAAATGCCGTCCCAAGGTTGTCCTAATATTCTAAATGCGAACTTGACCGCACGTGGTGGGAAAAATCGAGTGTCGATCTCTGCTGGCATCCGTTGATAGGTAGCGTTCGACAATATAAATTCTTGAAGTGGTGGGAAGAATGAGGTGCCGACCGGGTCTCAGTAGTTTGTTACACGAGGATCGGCCCGTTAAAGCTAGCTGTTGCGATTATATATACCATACAATATACATATGTAGTAGTAGTAAAACTAAAAGCAAGCCCGGGCTTTGAGTCTCATCTCAATAGATGAATAACGATTGACAATATTGTATTATTCCTCCCCAGAGATAAGAAACCAATGCTTAAGAGCTGTCAAGCCCGAGGCGGCACAGCATGAGGCTCTTAATTCGTGAGTTGCATTTATGATAGGACCTACAGATTGCATTGGTATCTTTCTATCTGGTGCTGCCCGAGCTCGCAAGGTTATTTGTCGAATTTGTGACAACAGCTAGCAGACGGATGTTTTTGGCCCATAATTTGCTTCATCGACGTTGAAGCGAGCACAAGCACAAGCACACCGAGTAAAGGATCTATTGGGTTCAAGATGCATAGATGCATAGGACTGCTGTAGATGTTACTCTAGTAGATGCAGTATTGCTTTAGGTTGATGAGTGTCACCCTGATGGTAGGCTAATAACGCCGACGATACTGGGTTGGCCGGCAGAGGATCCAATACTTCCGAAGACGGCTAGGGGATTAGGGGATAATAGGGGATAATTCAACGGGAATGCCATCACGTACAAGTCCATCTTCCGAATCATAGCTCGAGGAAGGCACCTCGATGAAAAAAGAAAGATGCCTGCTTTGAAACCGGCACCAGCAACCAGCAACCAATCAGTAACCAATCAGCTGTACGTTGTTCTCCTCTTAGAGACGAATGACGTCATGTCTAGTTACTCCTCCGCTGCCCCTCAATTTTGCATAGGCGCAAAATCCCCAGGTAAGCAAGGTACATCCTAGATCAGACATATTCCGTACACATCCCTAGGATGTAGACATGCATCCAATATATGCTACAGTCGGCAACTGGATCCTGCTTGATCCGCATCTCTAAGTGCGCGGGTATGCTGGTACATGTATTAACATCCATGGTAGCAACGCCGCAATAAAAAAGAATTTGTTAATGTGATTTATGTTAATAAGCCCTTTGGGTCTTTGACGAAGAGCGACCCCCAGTTGGCCAGAGACAAAGCACTATAGATGCGAAAGGCCAAGTAAAATGTCCTTCAGGATCCGACCGTATGCATGGCAGTCCTTCGCAAGGAGGCATCCGACAATCGAATTCTACGCGTACCATCGCCGATGCATGTATCCCGTCAGCCTCAACCTTCGTCCGCTTGTATGGCTATAACATCCCTATAGGGCCTATATAGGGCCTATATAGGGCCTATAGGGTCTATAGGGCACTAACCCCAAAGCGCAAAAGAGGGCTCGTGACCCGTTTTCCAGCGGCGCTAGCACCTGAGATCCTTAGGTAACGAGGCGGTCTACAAAAATTAGTACATACCAATGGAGGTACCTAACCTTGTGGAGTTGGTCGTGCTAAAAGACGGTTCCTCACGATCCGGCCAAGAGCATCTCGGCTCACCGTCCTGATTAGGTAGGTAAGTCCTACATAGGGTACAGCGGAGGAGGGGGGGAGGAGTTCGAAATGGAGAGAAGGCGCCCAGGACACGACTACATGCGATGACGTATGTTGGTTTTCCTACTCTCAATCGGAGGATAGACCGGGCCAACAAAGAAACCGGAAGTCAAGATATCCCCATACGAAAAGGAATTCCGGGAGTTGAGGAAGGACAAGTATTGGACGTATTTTGACTTGTCTCCAGATCTTCACCTGGGACATGCAGAACCCGGAGCATTCTCCCCATCAGTTTTACTTTGTGGAACTTGGAGGTTTGAACTTTACTAGATGCTGACTTATTAGATAAGCAAATCCGGTAGTTAAGGTAGGTAGTTAAGAGTATAAACCTGTTGACGTCATTCTCCAAAAACGAGAAACTAGCATGCCGCATTACGTATTGCGCATATCCAAACCAACATACTCATGACATCGTTAGCACTAACAAACAAATAACGGTTAGAAATACCAAGAATATTTGGTCATATCGTACGAGAATAAGTTTCTCTTCGCAAGCAAAAAAAAACTTTAACTAGAGATATCGTCATAGTTACTCATAGTTACTCTTCGAAGTCGGACCCTGAGAAAGTGTCCTAGGCAAACAACTGGACCCTGGCGATCAATTCTCGTGTAAGGCTGGGGGATCGTCTAGGGGATCATCCGATGTTCAATTGAACGGCAGGCTAGTCTGCTATACCTTCTTAGTTCTTAGTCTACCAGCCGTCACTATCGACGGGATGGGAAACACGCGTCGTACCATTTTCCACCCCCGGACCCCGCGAGACAAGATCAAACATCGCACACTTCCGTTCATACCAGCATACCCCTTCTCCATTCTACGCGATGAACCACCCTAAACTTGTATGTCTAGGTGTAGAGACACCATGCTCGGTGACATCACCGCCGGCATATTCCTCGTGGGGTACAGCACCAATCTTCTAATCTTCTAGACCTAGGTCTTTCACTTAAGTATCAGACATTAAACCACTTTCTACGAGCCATCATAGGTAGACTACTAACAAGTACTGTACCTGGCACCGATGGGAGTCGCTCAGTGTCGGCGTTATCGAACGGAGAAGTAGGTGACTAGGGCCAGGGTTAGTTGGTAGCTAGTAACCCTCCGACAACTCTAGGTTAAGAGGTCTGTCTCATTGCCTCAACGACTTTACATCCGAGGCAATATGAAGCTTATTTTTATGATATCCCTTGGGCCGACTAACCAACCGTAGCTTTCTGTAATATGGTAGGTTTTACCTGGAATTCCGGGATAATGTCTGTCAGTGACACTGTTAGATGACATATTGAATGCTCCGAGCCCGCATACATCCATCACATTAGAAGTAGGATGCAAGAACATATGACTGCGTAGTCGATACTTGGAATTGCTATTCATTTTCCTTCCTATCATAATCGTAGCCCCTATTTCTACTGGGCTGTCCGCCAAAAGTTCCTTATGATACGCATTTTCACCCTAAGGGACAACCACTATATGCAGTTCCTGAGTGTAGACCCCCTATATAGCCACGTGTAGATGGTATAACCTTCGAAGAAGGGACTTATACAGCGAGGGGCTCGATATTCCAGATGCCCTCGGAGTACTCGTTGATACACCTATCCGAGGTGAAGAAGCCCATCCTAGCGACGCTACGGATGCACTTCGAGACCCACTCGTCCTGGTTGCGGTATTCATCGTCTACCATCCTCTGGGTATCGATATACGACTGGAAGTCATCCGACACTAGATAGTAGTCACCGTGGTCGCGAACGGCCGAGATCAGCGCGTTGAAGTCGTTAGAGTCGCCGAACTTGCCGCTCTGAATAGCATCGAACACCTCGTTTAGGCCAGAATCGATTGCGTGCGAACCGTACGTGTGCGCGTGGCGTAGGTCCTCCACGTCCTCAGCTAGGGTCCCGAAGAGGAAAATGTTTTCTTGGCCGATTTCTCGAGTGATTTCGATCTAATATTTATGAGCTTCTAAACCGGAAAGATAAAATCGCAGCTGACTTACATTAGCTCCGTCGCATGTCCCAATGATTAAACCGCCGTTTAGCACGAACTTCATGTTACTGGTTCCGGACGCCCTATCTGTGTGTTAGCTGCTGATTCATTCTAACCTGTAGTACGGGACTCACTCTGTGCCAGCAGTTGAGATGTGCTCGCTAAGGTCGGAAGCAGGGATAATCATCTCCGCCTTGCTGACGTTGTAGTCTTCCACGAAGATGACCTTTAGGAGATCACCAATATCGGGGTCCTTGTTAACGACAGTACCGACGCTGTTAATGAGGTGGATAATCTGTTTTGCCATCCAGTAGCCAGGTGCTGCCTTTCCACCGAAGATCGAGACGCGAGGTAGATGTTTCTTCCTCTCTTCAGGGCTTAGGGCCTTGAGCTTCAGATACCGATAGATGACGCCAAAGATGTTCAGCTGCTGTCGCTTATACTCGTGGATGCGTTTGACCTGGACGTCAAACAGAGACGACGGGTTTACCGTAATGCCTGTGGTGCTCTTGATGTACTTCGCAAGCCGGACCTTGTTGGCGTATTTAATCTCGCCCCATTCCTTTCTGAATTCTTTGTCGTTCACAAACGTCTCTAGCTTATTGAGGAGCGTGAGATCTTTCAGGAACGCGAGGCCGCCAATTTTGCTAGAAATCAATTCTGAAAGGCGGGGGTTCGCTTGATGCAACCACCTTCGGGGTGTGATACCGTTTGTAACGTTAGTAAATTTGTCAGCGCCGAATATGTTGACAAAGTCCTTGAAGATAGTCGTCTGGATGAGGTCTGAATGCAGTTCGGCAACACCATTGACCTTGTGAGAACCAACGACGGCTAAGAATGCCATACGGACCATCTTTGGCTGAGATTCTTCAATAATCGAAACCCGGCTCAGTATTCCCAGGTCATTCGGGAATCTCTTTTCTACGCTCTGTAAAAAGAAAAGGTTGATGTCATATATGATCTGAAGATGGCGAGGCAGAAGATGTTGTACTAGGCCGACGGGCCATTTCTCTAGAGCCTCGGGCAAAACTGTGTGATTCGTGTAGCCGAACTAAAACAGAGTTAGCTAGATAGAGCCAAGCATGGTTAATTGTCAAAGGATACTCACGGTTGACTTGACTATCTGCCAGGCCTCATCCCATTCGAGGCCTTCTATGTCTACCAGTATCCGCTGGAGCTCTACAATGGCTAGTGTTGGGTGGGTATCGTTGAGCTGGATTGCGACTTGGTCGGGGAATTCGCTCCAGGCACGCTCCGTCTTCTTGAATCGGCGGACAATATCGTAGAGCGAGGCTGCAACCCAGAAGTACTGTTGCTTAAGACGCAGCTCCTTTCCACGGTCAAGGTTGTCATTCGGATATAAAACGGCACTGATGGTCTCCGCTCTCTGCTGGTCTGCTACGGAGCTCTCATACTCTCCATTGTTGAACTTCTGGAAGTCGAATTCACCACTAGCGGCTTTGCTGGACCATAGTCGTAAGTTGTTAGTAGTGGGCGTGTCATAGCCAGGAATTGGCACGTCGTAAGCTACAGCAGTGACAAATTCACCCCCTTCCCAGAAGGCCACCGTCTTTCCATTCTCGTCTTGGGCTTTGCGAACGTAGCCGTAGAATTGGATCTATATTTTCTGTTAATCAACGCCATGTAAATATAGACTAGCCATCAGATAGTAACTCACGTTGACTGTGATATCGTGCCTTGGAAATTCCCACGGGTTGAAGTCGAGCCAGTATTCAGGGACCTCGACTTGGTATCCGTCGATAATCTCCTGCTTGAAAATACCATAGCGATATCTTAAGCCGTAACCCCAGGCGGGATAGTTCAAGGAGGCGAGACTGTCGAGAAAGCAAGCCGCAAGTCGTCCGAGTCCACCATTGCCCAATGCAGCATCGTGTTCTTGGCCAATGATGTCTTCAATACGAAACCCAAGTTCGTCAAGGCCCTCTACAGCAGCAGTTAGCTACCTATTAACCACCCGATCAAACAGAAAGAAGTTGGCTATGCTATACCTTTGGCAGTGGGCTTGGCGCCAACATTGAGCATAGCATTGTCTAGAGCACGACCCATCAAGAACTCTAAACTCAGATAATAGACACGCTTGCTGTCTACGAAGGTCTGGCGCTGCTGAGTCTTGTTCCACTCCTTAACCAAACGATCACGGAACGCTAAGCTTGTAGCCGAGTAAGCAGCCGACTCGTCGCAGTTGAACATGCTACGAGCCAAGGTTGTCTCGACATGGCGAACAACCTCCTTCTCAAACTCATCCTTTGTCCTGAAGCCATGGTATTCGTGCTTGGTCCATGTCGCACGTTGAGGCTCGGGGATCGCCGCTACAAGAGAATAGTAGGGGTTAGTAGGTGGTCCGATTATAATAATAAGTAGGTGATCCCTTTAGGGAATGATCGAAGCCACCGGAGGAAAACATGACTTATACGAACCTTCTACGTTCTTGATCTCGTTGGCTCCAAAACCCGTGAAAGTACGCTTATGTTTCGGACGAGAGATGCCCGCGGGGCTTACAGAACCGACTATTTCGACAATAGGTGCGGCTGTGGAGGGGCGGCGCTCCCTGGTTGGTAGACCCGACGCCATGTTGGAACTTTGAGCTTATAGTTTGAAGCTACCCCCTAAGATAGGATAAAGTAGCTAGAATTCACGGAAAGCTGAGACTCGGTAATTAGAAAGGAAGAAGAACAACCGCCATCCTCTATTACAAGTAGACGAACGTTTAAAGACTAGTTGGTATGACAATACTTAACATACCTAGGTAGGTCTAAGAGAGGAGCTAACGATAAGCAGAAGCAAGGATAGTCGATGATGGAATGAGGGGGCGGGGTTAGTCGATGGGGATTGGAGCTCGCTCTTTGTGAGAGTAGAGAGCTCTGGTTCCTGGTCCGATGTCGATCACCGCGGGGTACTTATACGGTCGATATCCTCTCACGTAACACGACAACACTTCGTATCCCACGAACGGAGTAAGAAGGAAAGTAAAGAGGAAAAGTTCAAGAGGCAAACAAAGGAAAATTTGCGGGCATCGAGACAAATAAAGGGGAGACATGGCCGGCAACATTTAAGAGGAATCGGAGCGATGGTGGATACTGAGTTACTAGGGGGGAAGAGTTCCCAGAAGAAATCATGCCACAGTTAAGGCACGATGACGAAGGGAAGCCCGTGGAAGCTGCAGGCGCTATGCTGTAGAAGTATAGAACCGAAATCAATTGGCAAAGGCAGTAGGTAGTCGTAAGAATTTGCCTACCTCTACGTAGTACCTAATGTGTAAGTCATAACTGACTGGATGGATGGAGCTCTACGGATAGTGCGGAGAGGTAGGTATACCACCTTAGTATGTACGATTAGAACCACTCGTGTAAGTCTAGAGCTGTCAGCTAACGTTGTACTAGCCAACGGTCTAAGATATATTTATAAACTAGTATAAAATTAGCTGAACTCGAGAACCACTTGTTTTCCATGGGAAGTACGATATGATTTCTGGGGAAATACGAAGTAGAACTCATTATTGTTAACTGGACACCTAGTTCCCCCATGTTGCTTGCTTGGGCACATTAGATACCTAGGCGTGGTATACTAATTAACATGAAGCGCTCAGTTAATATTACCCCCCTTTTTCGTCGACATCGGAGTATCAAAACTTCTCACCCAACGACAACTAGAATATGCGGCTGGAGGTCAATATCCGAACCTCCATGGTTAGAGACTCGCGGACGGCGGCTCTGTTAGTGGCAGCGCATCTGACCTAGCATCTGCAGCATAACACTTCCTTGTCAAGCAGCTTACATGGATAGCTTGCTGCATCTTCGAGACAGCTACCTATGTCATAACGCTTGTAGATGTTACCTCTCGCAACAAAGGTCGTCTGACTGAAACGGCTATCCTCCATACATAGGGTAGATACCTACAGCGCCATCGCAATATAAACCATACACTCTTCCCCCAGTTTCTCCTTTCCCGTTGCCGAGATGTGCGCAAAGAACGTCAATAATAATAATAATAGCAAAGCCCATCGAGATTCTCCCTTACAAGTTCTCGATGTTCTAGATCCATAACCCCGCCTCGATTTTAGAGACCCTTACGGTTGACCAGACAAGCCACTGTGCCAAAATGAAAAAAATAATCGCACACTAAACTAAAGTTGGTAGGAGGTCACTTGCCACAATTTAGAAAATATTAAATGTATACTTTTAAGACTTATTATGGTTTATTATAATAGAGATATTGATTTAACCAATATAATGTGAAAGATTGGCCAATCAAATTAAAGGATTTAATTGTCAATTCAATTATCAATTGACAATTTAATTTTCAACTACCACATCTACACATTCAGATAACTTTACAATTCTAGCAATTACAACATTATAATTGGTATTGTCTAATAGCCTTAATTGATGCGAAAGTAATGATTTAGGTTGCATGTTTATACGACGTATTGTTGCTAAGATATCTAAAGTTTTTTTTTAAGAGCAGTTGTCTCAAAGGGTATCACGTGTACGTACAGGTCTCTGGGGGGCGGCAGTATGTGGGGCTGTCATATATCGTCAAGTACCTCCCCCACCATACAAATTTACTACTGTACACTTGTACTTTTGGAATAGCCAAACCTTACGGATTACAAGATGCGCGCCCTCCTATTGGCTAAATTTTACACCGCCCGTCCGGCAATATCCTTATCTTTATCCCATATCTCTAATACAGCCTCATATTAGACTAATTGAATTCAATCAATTCAAATGACGATGCAATGGCTATCTATCCTTATATATTGCCTTTATTCAGTCGCATGCATCGGTTATAGACTATACGGTCGCATGCAGTCATTCCGAGGCAAAAAGGCTGAAAACGAGGTCTTTTTGAATGATCTCTGATATGTGTGTATGTATATAAGGCTGGCTGGCTGGCCAATCAGGAGCCTGTATTGACCTGTACGTACACGTGATACCCTTTGAGACGACTGCTTTTAAAAGACTTTAGATATCTTAGCAACAATACGTCGTATAAACATGCAACCTAGATAATTATTTTCGCTTTAATTGAGGCTATAAAATGATACTAATTACGATGTTGTAATTGCTAGAATTGTGAAGTTATTCAAGTGTGAGGTAGTTAAATCTTTTGATTTAATAAAAGATTAAAAATAAGCATATTCTTTTAAAGCATATTATATATAACGTTATAACGTATGTATTTAAAAAGGCTAATTCTTTTTTCCTATACAAAAGTGCGAAGTACTGCAAAAAATCGAGCTAATTGCGCTAACCTGTGGCTGACTACCCTTTTAAGCTAAGCTCACAGATTTTTTTCATTTTGGCACAGTGGCCTGTCTGGTCAACCGTAACCCTCCCGCAACCCTTGTAGTTTCGGGCTATTAATAATTGGATTCATACGCTGTAGCGTTTCTCTTGGCATTGATGATTTACATGGAGAAGATATTACATGCATGCGATACGAAGTCCTTGCATTTTAAGGCTTCAAAAAACGGAGAGGAAAACCCTATATGTCGTACAGTTGCGATTCTGATAGGGCAATATGTAAGGTAATATGATTGGGACGGTATACGCGGGTAGACCTTTTAGTTTCTATTGTGCTAAAAATTCTATAAGTATAATAGCAAGGTTACATGAAGTATCCTACTAGTTATACATAACTAGGTAGTTATTGATTCTTGAATCGTGTTTTCTGGTTTACAGTATGTTTTATTTATATATTTATGAGGCTATCATATTAGTACCTTCTACTCTTCGGTATGTTTAAAATATTCGCGTTGAACTACATGGTTATAAAAAGGAAATAAAAGGGGACATGAGAAGATGCGAATCAACATTTGACACGACTATCATACATAAAACAACGTAATGCATTCATGAATTTTTTCTATTGGTGTTAATGCGCTTCGCATCATTTAGATGCTATTTGCTGACTTATTCCATGAATACCTGGGGGAAGGGGGTATCTACTGGTAACTATCTCATGGGACGTCGCCCGACTATGAGCTACCAACTTTGTTCCCAGCACCTATGCAGTCTAGACTCGTCTATACGAATACCTTCGGCACCTCCATATCCCGTCGTCGATCCTATGTCGGATGTTGTATGTAATGGTGGTGCCTATCAAGCATCGAGCAGCTTCTTCTTCTTCTCCTTCTTCTTTCTTCTAAATAAAAATAAACAATAACCATCTCTCGCCGGACTCTCACGGTCAGTATTTTTCTGCCTGCCATTCCACGTCATTCCCATATGCCGAAAACATATTAAAAACCTGCGAAATTGTCGAGGCCCCTGACGCCTTGCAAGAAAACACAAAAACAAAAGAAATCTGTGCGGTTCCCTGCCTAAAACTCCTGCCCAATGCTTTTGTGGTTCTCACTCTTAGGGGTATAACTTAATCCCCGGTAAGCCGTAAACGATTTAAAAGACGAAATCACAAGATGCCAGAGTCCTTAAGCGCATTATTAAGTATCGTTTCCTTCACTGCCGCGAATACCAACCGAATGTTGGATGTGTCTGTTGCCTGGGTTAAGCTAAATACGAAAGTCAGCAACTAGAAACCAAGTTTTTTATCCGGACGCTCGGACATACTGAGGATATAAATTCAGGTGAGCTCTATTAACCTGGTTGAATCTCCATAGTAGGTACTTTGCAGCTTTATTCACATCGTTGCCACCGGAGTAGTCCGGGAAATAGTTACCCAACGGCGATCTAGGAAGCTTGACCTTAAATATGTCAACCTTATTCAGGAACAGTATTATGCTCGTTCTCATGAACCATCTCGAGTTGACAACCGAGTCAAATAGCAGCAGGCTTTCCATCATTCGATTCTACATAACGTTAGCTGGGATAGTCGGGCCTCCGGACGTTTTTCAAGGAATACCTGGCTACTTTCTTCGAGCAGAACCTGATCGTACTCGCTCAGCGCCACGCAGAATATGATGGACGTCACATTCTCGAAGCAATGTATCCACTTCTTACGCTCACTCCTCTGTCCACCAACATCGAACATGCTAAAAGCGCAGAGTTAGAATCCGTACCATACCAGAAGCGTTATTCCGGAATTCTTACTGGATACTGAGTGCTCCCATCTGAAATCGGGTTTCGTAGATACCGGTCGTCTTCGTCCGCGCGCGAAGGACATCCATTTCGTTCGGCAGGTAATCCGGGGCGCAAATCCGCGATACTTCGTCGAAGAAACTGCAGCAGTGGTAAGTAAGAAATAACCGAACTGTATTGGCCTCTTAACTTACTACTCGGCTGAGTCCATCAAATAGAATTCCGTGGCGTGCTGCATAAGTCGCTCGATGCATGGATCATGCCATAAGGCTTGTACTGCCGTCGCAACTTTCGGTTCGATATGTGCTGACGGGCCCGATTCAACCGTATATCCTAGCAAATAGTCGCAGTACTCTTTGGTTTCATCGCTGCTCGCTTCGATATCGAATTGGTCCATTGCGATAATAACGGCTTTGGCGCATTCGATCAGGTTTTTAAAGACGGTGGCGCGGTAGTTGAATAGTTCATCTTCCGAGTAGCCTTTCAAGTGTATTATCTTCATCTGCTTGACAATTGTCGATTTTCCGCTCTCGCCGGATCCTGGTGAATGGACCTTGTTAATACCATGGACCACGAGGAAGATATCAATGGCTAAGCAAGGATAAGCTTACCTAGCAGAAGAATCTTGCATTCTCGTCTTAGTCTCTTCGAAT